TATAATATAATATTTATGGTACATCCGCCTCTTGAATATATTTATTTAATATAAATTAAAGTAAGATATATTTAAGATGTAATAGAATGTAACAGTACATACTTTTATTTTGATAAAGTAAAACTGTTCTACAAAAGAACTCAAAGCCTGTGAGATGTATATTTATGTACATATATAGTATAATAATTATAGTAAGCCAATATATAATATAATATGTATAGTGCATAGGGATTAAATAAAACAACAATATGCTAAGGCTCATATGCTAAATATGGAGTTTTTGAGTTTCTATTGAATTGTTCACGAATCATCTATTTATATAAATCAATAGAATCTATTATTAATTAGGAAACAACTTTTAAAGACTTAACCTTAAAGACGTGATTCTTTCACAATTTCAAGCTGAATTTAATATTGATTTACGAATCAATTCACCTATAATTAATTCATTGTACAGTTAACGAAGCCCAAGACTTGATACTGCCAAACTGTTTTCCTCAACATTTCCCATTTCAACTTAAGCGAATCTTATGAGCAATTGAGCCCCACAAATTTCATTAACCAAATGCGAAAAGAAAAGTCTTTAAGTCTTTGCTGCAAACATTTTCTTTTTGGCGACATTAAATCTTGGACGAATTTGAGTTGAATTAAGAAACTTTTCTGGCAAAGGAGAGAGAACCTAACAAATGATTTTATTATAAATTATGCTCGATTAAACAAACTCCAAACTTTGTTAGTAACAATTTAATTCAAGTATAAAGTATTTCTTATATACCGAATATATGAAACATTTGCCTTGTGTTTTCTGAAATGTATTTTATCTATAAATTCACTAGAAAATTATATTGATATATTATGCTTTTCTCATCTAACTTAGCTTTTAGCCTTTAATTTAGCGCTTTTTCAGCTATACTCACATTTTCGTTAATTTATTGCATTTCTCATATTTTATCCACTTTTGGTAAACATTTTTCAATCACTTTTGATTTTGCTGTTTCGTGTATTTTTCTTCTTTTTTTTTTTTTTTGCCGTCGGCAGGATGTGTTGGGCAATTCTTCTTCTTCTTCTACAGCTGCTTCTTCTTGCTGCGCTTTGTCCTCTGTTTCATGGACTTGATTTGGTTGTCTTTGTTGTCTCACTTCACGTTTTGGGCGTTTCTTTTCAACAAATTCTATTGCACATATTGAAAATGTTTTTTGTTTTTGCCTTTTGCTTTTGTTGTTGTTGCTGCGTTTGCCATTTGCATTTTGTTTTGCGTTCGCGTATTTGCGTATTTCTTTTGTATTTGTATTTGTATTTGTATTTGTATTTTATTTTATTTTATGATTAATTAAACACACGCGACCACAAAAACTTCGACGTCGACCCCCCGCGCACTTTTGCCACATGACACGACAGCGCTCACACCCACACACCCACACACACACACACACACAGATACACACACACACACACCAGCAAGCACACACGCACTCACTCACACACACACGCACACACTGAGACGCAGGCTCACATACGCTTACGCACACGCACTTAAAGCTGAAGATGAGGCGGGAGAGGAAGAGGAAGAAGTGAATAAAAAAAATAAGTAACGTGCGTGAGCTGCGTCGACGACGATGACGGCGACGGCGGCGGCTGCGGCGGTAATAAAAACCGTTAACTAGCCAGTGGGCGGCTGGCGTGGCTGCTGCTGCTGCGGCGACTGCGATCGCTGCTGAAGCTGTCAAAAATTGTATTTTTGTTGCTGCTGCTGTTGTCGTTGTTGTTGCTGTTGTTGCTATTTTGGCAACAATAATTTGTTGTGATTGTGTGAATGGCAAATTAGCTGTAAACTGGCCACGGGTAACGGGCCGCGGGCAACGTAACGGGGCAACACTGTCAACTGGAGGCTCTAAGGCGGCTGACCAAAAGCCAAGAAGTGGCGGCTGTTGCCTGCTGCCTGCCTCGCTGGCTGCCTGAACTGAACGCTGAACGCTGAACTGTCGCTGGCGCTGTCGGTGGCGCTGCCGTTGGCCGTGGCGTTGGCCGTGACTGGAGCCGAAGCAGAGAATGTCCTTTATGGATTTAACGAGCGTGCGGCGCAGCAAGAAAAACGAGAAAACGAGAAAACGGCAACGAGGCAACGAGACAACGCAGCAACGCAGCAGCAGCGCAGCAGCAGCGAATCGAAGTGTCGCTATCCGTTGGGGGCAGATTTTCGTGTTCGGGCATTGCAAAAGCTTAGATGGCAGCAACAACAGTGGCAGTGGCAGTAACAGCGGCGAGAGAGCGAGCCAGAGAGTGAGCATTGCATGTAAAAGTGCGTGCAACGTTTTCGAAATGGCGGGGAATCGCCCGTATAAGACTGTTAACGTACTGTTAGTGGGCATGCTTAACAGCGTGTGCCACTGTTAAGCGGGCAACACATTAGTTGTGCTCCTCTAACACACGCATTGCTGCCATTTATGAAAGGTCTTGACTGTGTATGCGAGTGTGTGCATATGTATGTGCCTCAGCGAATGCCATAAATCAAAAAGAGACTCGCTCTCCTCGCTTGCCTTTGTGAGTGTGTGCGTGAGTGTGGGCATTGGCTCTTCTCTCTTGCCGGCTGCCGAGCGAGCACTCGCAAGAGCCGACGGCGCACAAATCGATACCCCCAAGCAGCGGACAGCAAACGAAAAACTGTCCGACAGCAGACAACGTCATCTTCGGGGCAGCGCAGCGCTAAGTTTGTTTTTGCGCAGCGTCATTGTCGCTGCTGCCGCTGCTGAGCCATCGACAAATAAATAAAACGCAATGTAAAAGCAAAAACAAATTATGACAACTTTAGGCGGAGCATAACGAAAAATGTGAACGAAATGTGAAGCGCTGCCAGCGTCGCAGCGAGTCTCTCATTTCTTTTCTTATATTATATTCTCAGCGCTGGCAGCGCTCAATCATATTTCTGTCTGCGCTTCTGTGTATGTGTGTGTGTGTGTGAAATATAGTGAGCTTACTTGCAACTGTGTGTGTGTATTATTCTTTATTTACTTATGTATTCTTAGGTTGATTTTTTTCAGCTGCTTCTAATACTTTACCGTTGGTCCTTTAGCAGCCATTGCGAAAACAAAATGCCGTCGGTAATGAGTGGATTCCAATAGGAATTGGCGCAGCTGAATCAAAGCTATTTTAAAGAGTTAAGCGAAGCATTTCACAGTTATTTATTTTAAGGAATTTCACTGCAAACTGATTTATTTGCTCATCGCTTAATAACTGAATTTCTGTTTCTGTTCTTCTAATTTCTTAATTTCAATTCGTTCGCATATTTAAGAACTCGAATTCCATGCGGGAACCGCTTCTGCTCAAATGCCACACAGTCGATGCAGTTTGTGGCATGAATTATGCATGCCACCAATTGCATTTCATTTGTAGATAAATACGTGCGTATCCTCCACATACATACATATGTATAGATGTATAGAGGCATACATTGCAGGCACAACCCTCTCCCATATAATCTGAAAGTATTCGTGCGGAACATCTGCCCGCTGCGTGAGTTTATGAATTACTAAAAAAAGAGAATACTTTATACAAGCAACAACAACAACAGTTACACGAGTGTGGACAATTTTCAAAATGGTTTCACATTGAATGAAAAAATTTAAAATGAAATGAAATGATAACAAACAGCGAGAGCAAAAACAATAACAACACAACTTCACCACCCCGAATAAAATATATTTCAAAATGTATTCAATATCCCTCGGCATTAGGGATCAGCTAATAACTAACCCTCTCCCAATCCAGCTCAACTCGACTCATCTCTCCCTCTCTCACGACCTTTGAACCGAATGCCTCGCAGACTGCGAGCTAAATTAGCAAACTCTATACGAATCCCAAGCAAATGCCAATGAAATACTAACAGAACCTGGAAAAAGCATTTCCTCATAGACACAGCGTCTAAGCCCTAACAAAATAATTCCCAGACCCAGTGTCGTTTATCATCGTGCAACGCATCCAATCAAAAAAACAATTTTCAAAACGTGGGCAAAGATGATGGCCGCCAAAGAGTAAGAGAAAGAGAGAGAGAGAGAAAGAGAGGACGAGTGAGGGAGAGAGGGAGATAACAAGTGGAATTTCTATGCAAATCGAAACACGTTTTAAAATTTTGATGACGCCGATTTGTCTCTCCACATTCATAAAATATCAAACCACAAAAACAACAGAGAAAGAGAGGAACAAAGAAAAAAAAGTGTTTCAAGAAAACCCTCGACAGGAAAATCAAAGTCAAAGCGAAGCCGACCAGAACGCAGTCAACGAAGCAATAATTAAAATCGGAATAAATTATTATACACCTTTCGAAGGCAAATGCGACAAATGCCCAGAGAACCGAAACCAAACTGAAACACAAACTGAATCGAGTCGAGATGTTGAACGACGCTTTTAATCATCATGAGAAACGTGAGTCGGAAATCTATTGAAATCCATTGATTACGAATGCCTAAACTAAAGCTAAAGACAAGAAGAACCAACAGCAGCAGCAGCAGAAGAAGAGGAAGAACAAAAAGAACAAAAAGAAGAAGAAGACTGAGAAGAAGCAGAAGAGAATGCATAGTTAAAGATGCATATTTAAATAGATTTATTCATAATATTTTGGTAGAGACTGCAGAGAATTTCCAATAATTGCTAATTAGATGAAGAAAAGTGTAAAAGGGGAAATATTATAAGAAGGGGTCTAGACTAGCTAGAATATAGCTAAAAGTTAAATTAAACTCAGTCAAAAGTATATACACGGTGGTCCATATTCTATGGACCCATCTGGTAACGCTTCATGGGATACAAATATTCTCATCTATATTGTAAGTGTAAATTCGAAATTTGAATCATAATAATACTAAGTATATGCATTCTATATATATAAGAAGGGGTCTAGACTAGCTAGAATATTGCTAGAAGTTAAATTAAACTCAGTCAAAAGTATATACACGGTGGTCCTTATTCCATGGACCCATCTGGTAACGCTTCGTGGGTTACAAATATTCTC